AATTCTGTTGTTAAAACATACGCAAACAACCATTTCCTCTATGAAATATCAAATTTGGTATTTAAATTATTATCTTTTTATGGAGACTCTCACCACAACCACTGCTGCTACCACATTGTGTTTAGCCCAGCCAATTGCCGCTTCTATTCCAATGCGGTAGTCACGAAAAAACATAAACCTTCCTCTCCCCCAAAAATTATTGATGTGAACATTTTTCTGGCTATTTAACATAATCATTCAATTAAAGTTTGGACCCACTTAAATAACACTTCGAATAGATATGGCCGAATAAGTGACATGCCTGATTTTAGAAATAAGCCCCTTCGATGTCCTGGCTTAAATTGTGTATTTATATTTGAGTGTGTGTGTATGTATGCATAAATAATTTTATGATTGAATTGATGTTATTTGGGCCATAAAAATTCAACAACCAGTCGATGTTGCTAAACCGGCTATTTGAAGCTAACCGAACATAAAAGCACCCACTTGATATGCTCATATAGAGAGAGCGGCAGGCGAAGGCGAACCCCCTCTGAGTGTATGTGCGTGCATGTGAAATACAACAATAACTAACTATTGCCAGTATTATGATTATTATTAGAGATTTTCTCATATTTTTTAACATAAATTCCCCATAAAAAACTTTCAACCTCCAAACTACCAGCACTCACAATCGCCAGCTCGTTCCTAACACACAAACACCCATTCACACACATACCCGCACCAATAAAGGCAACTAGTTTGCCATCCAATTCAATGGAAATTGATTAAACACAAATATAAACCTCCATGCCACCATATATGTGTGTACCTCTTTTATGTCTGTATTGTGATCGGATATAAAATTGTGTAAAAGTGCACATGTATGTATGCGTGTGTGTGTGCTGTATTGACTGTTGTAACCGATGTTTTTGATATCACAAACAAACACCACGTTAAGTTTTATTAAATAAAAGTTTCAAACAGTTTTGGAAAATATTTGTAAATGGCTTTGCAACACATCAACAACAGCAACAAAAAATCAAGGCAAATAGAAAGTGTATGGTTTGCATTTCCCGGCAGAATATATAGCTTTTTTATGCTTTTAAAATACGATAATATTGGAAATATATTTATGTTCATGAAATTTTAATCGTAACATATATCTCCCTCCAGTTTACAGATGTTAGCACAATGTTGGACGAAAATGTGGGGGTGAAATAAATTAGAACATGTTATGGGGTTATTCTGAAAGTTTCGGGGTTCGGGGGTTTTTAGCATGTTTTAAATTGCAGTTTTATAAAGAGGAAAAATAGCTTATTTAAAAATGCTTATAACTCCTTAAATATTGACATTTCGGGGTTTTTAGCATGTTTTAAATTGCAGTTCTATAAAGAGGAAATATAGCTTATTTTAAAATGCTCATAACTCCTTAAATATTGACATTTCGGGGTTTTTTGCATGTTTTAAATTGCAGTTTCTTAAAGAGGAAAAATAGCTTATTTTAAAATGCTCATAACTCCTTAAATATTGACATTTCGGGGTTTTTAGCATGTTTTAAATTGCAGTTTCTTAAAGAGGAAAAATAGGTTATTTTAAAATGCTCATAACTCCTTAAATATTGACATTTCGGGGTTTTTAGCATGTTTTAAATTGCAGTTTTATAAAGAGGAAAAATAGCTTATTTTAAAATGCTCATAACTCCTTAAATATTGACATTTCGGGGTTTTTAGCATGTTTTAAATTGCAGTTTTATAAAGAGGAAAAGTAGGTTATTTTAAAATGCTCATAACTCCTTAAATATTGACATTTCGGGGTTTTAGCATGTTTAAATTGCAGTTTTATAAAGAGGAAAAATAGGTTATTTTAAAATGCTCATAACTCCTTAAATATTGACATTTCGGGGGTTTTAGCATGTTTTAAATTGCAGTTTTATAAAGAGGAAAAATAGGTTATTTTAAAATGCTCATAACTCCTTAAATATTGACATTTCGGGGTTTTTAGCATGTTTTAAATTGCAGTTTTATAAAGAGGAAAAATAGGTTATTTTAAAATGCTCATAACTCATTAAATATTGACATTTCGGGGTTTTTAGCATGTTTTAAATTGCAGTTTCTTAAAGAGGAAAAATAGTTAATTTTGAAATGCTCATAACTCCTTAAATATTGACATTTCGGGGTTTTTAGCATGTTTTAAATTGCGGTTTCTTAAAGAGGAAAAATAGGTTATTTTAAAATGCTCATAACTCCTTAAATATTGACATTTCGGGGTTTTTAGCATGTTTTAAATTGCAGTTTCTTAAAGAGGAAAAATAGCTTATTTTAAAATGCTCATAACTGCTTAAATATTGATATTTCGGGGTTTTTAGCATGTTTTAAATTGCAGTTTCTTAAAGAGGAAAAATAGCTTATTTTGAAATGCTCATAACTCCTTAAGTATTGACATTTCGGGGTTTTTAGCATGTTTTAAATTGCAGTTTCTTAAAGAGGAAAAATAGCTTATTTTAAAATGCTCATAACTCCTTAAATATTGACATTTCGGGGTTTTTAGCATGTTTTAAATTGCAGTTTCTTAAAGAGGAAAAATAGCTTATTTTAAAATGCTCATAACTCCTTAAATATTGACATTTCGGGGTTTTTAGCATGTTTTAAATTGCAGTTTCTTAAAGAGGAAAAATAGCTTATTTTAAAATGCTCATAACTGCTTAAATATTGATATTTCGGGGTTTTTAGCATGTTTTAAATTGCAGTTTCTTAAAGAGGAAAAATAGCTTATTTTGAAATGCTCATAACTCCTTAAATATTGACATTTCGGGGTTTTAAGCATGTTTTAAATTGCAGTTTCTTAAAGAGGAAAAATAGGTTATTTTAAAATGCTCATAACTCCTTAAATATTGACATTTCGGGGTTTTTAGCATGTTTTAAATTGCAGTTTTATAAAGAGGAAAAATAGGTTATTTTAAAATGCTCATAACTCCTTAAATATTGACATTTCGGGGTTTTTAGCATGTTTTAAATTGCAGTTTTATAAAGAGGAAAAATAGCTTATTTTGAAATGCTCATAACTCCTTAAATATTGACATTTCGGGGTTTTAAGCATGTTTTAAATTGCAGTTTCTTAAAGAGGAAAAATAGCTTATTTTAAAATGCTCATAACTCCTTAAATATTGACATTTCGGGGTTTTTAGCATGTTTTAAATTGCAGTTTCTTAACGAGGAAAAATAGCTTATTTTAAAATGCTCATAACTCCTTAAATATTGAAATTTCGGGGTTTTTTCGGATATTAATGGTGACAAGATTTTTGACCCTTCACAAATTGCAAACCGGTTCTGTGTTTTTTGGTCTACTTTGTCTGAAGATAGTAACTTCCCTGATGTATTTCAATACCATAAGAAAGAATATTCTCAAAATCCCAGATTTCTAGTTTCGAACAAATATGCCAGCTCTCTAGAAAATGACATAACTCTATTTGAATTTAAATGTTCTCTCAATCAACTTAAAGGCACAACTCCAGGTTTTGATAGAATTAACTATCAAATGATTAAGAACCTCGGTAATAAATCAAAAGAACGTCTTGTCTTGCTATATAATAACATTCTGAACACCTATATTCCTCACATATACAAAAGCAGCCTCGTAATACCAATTCCAAAGCCCAATTCTGATAAAACGTCAGTTTTGGCATATAGGCCTATATCTCTTAATACCTGTTGTTCCAAACTACTCGATAAAATCATTGCTAAAAGATTATGGTGGTTTGTAACTGTTAACAAACTTCTTAGTTCTTTTCAATTTGGATTTAAAAAGGATAAGTCAATTGCTGACCCATTAATCTTCTTAGACTACCACATAAACAACTCTCTTAAATGTAAAAAACACATTTCCCTCATATCTCTCGATTTTTCAAAAGCATTCGACAAGATTGGCGTTCATGCTATTCTCAGCCAACTTGAAGAATGGGGCGTAGGTCCAAAAATATACAATTATGTTAGGAACTATATGCATAATAGAAAGATAACAGTTAAAGTTAACTCTTATCTTTCAGACACACAATCCCTTTATAATGGAATCCCCCAAGGTTCGCCACTATCTGTAGTTTTATTTTTAATTTCCTACAACAAACTTGCAAAAATATTAGAGTCTCAGAGTGAGATCAAATTTGTATCCTATGCTGATGATTTCATAATAATTAGAAACTTGTCTAAGCAGAAAATTTCGACAATCAATGTTGGCCATGTATTTTCAGAAATAGATTACTGGTGTAAATTTTCAGGTGCTCAACTATCACTAGAAAAATGTAAACATTTACACATATGCCATAAGCGAAACTGTCGTCCAGAACTTATAAATAATAATCACTCTATACCCCCAGTAGAAACTTTGAAAATTCTTGGCATTACTTTCAATAAAAAATACCTCTGGAATTCTCATATTAATAGTTTATGCCTCTCTCTCCAAAATAAACTTAACATAATAAAATGTTTATCCAACAGAAAATTTCAATGCAACACATTTACATTGATCTCTGTTATTAATTCCATCATTGTATCTAAAATCAATTATGGTATTTTCCTATACGGTTATACAACAAAATCAAATTTAAATAAAATTAAAACCATTTTTAATTCCGCTGTAAGAACTGCTCTAGGAGCGCATCGAACAACTAGAATAACTAATATGTTATGGGAAGCAAATCTTAATACTATCGAAAGTTACAGAGACCTTTCCACAGCAAAACTCTTCAAAGCTATACTACTAAATGACAATTCTCCTGTAATTAATCTTTTTAACAAAAGTGTGAAAAACAAAAGATTCTTTAACATGAATTCATCGCTAAAACGCATAAAAAGTTTTTGCGATATATACAACTTACCATACAACCGCAAAACACCATTATGTAATAAATCTTTTTGTCAGTATTACCCATACCCCATAGATTTTTCTCTTTGTAAGTATAACAAAGAAAATACAAACATCGAAATTTATTCCAATGAATTTTACAATATACAAGAAAAATATAGAGAATATAAATTTATATACACCGATGGATCAAAATCACAAAGAGGCATCAGCTACAGTGTTGTAAAAGAAGATACAATCATAAAACATTCGATTTTGCCAGAATATTCGTCCGTTTTTACCGCAGAAATAATAGCCATTTATGAGGCAATTAATTATACCAAATATTTAAAAGGTAAATTTGTCATTGTATCTGACTCTTTGTCAGCATTAGATTGTATTGCTAATCCCAATAATAACAACATCTATGCATCGCTGATAAGGGACATTATCAACTATGAAAAACATTTACTAGTCTGGGTTCCGGGACACTCCAACATAAAAGGTAATGAGTTCGCAGATTTAGTTGCAAAGGAAGCTTTCAATTTTCCACTTACTACTACTGATAATTTAAATTTACAAGATATCAAGAATTTTGTTAAAACACAGTTTTACTGTGAAAGAAATTCTCTATGGAACAATTGCTCTGACTGGTATAAATCCATAAGCAATAACAAAACAAATATCAAAACATATATTCACAATAATAAACTACTGTCAAGACGTGACCAAATAAAAATCATTCGCCTAAGGTTAGGACATTCTAGCGCAACGCATGACCATATCATTAACAAAGACATACAAAAGGAATGCACTTTCTGCAAATCTACCACATTTGATATGAATCACCTACTGTCAAATTGTCAACATGTCAAACAATATATAAAATCACTTTTCCCCAATATTAATTTAATTGATACATTAAAAAACCTTGATACCACAAAACTTGTGGAAGTAATAAACTTTTTAAAAAGAAGCAACCTTTATAATTACATTTAAAATAAATTAGTAATCATTCAGTATACTCAATTCTTATATTATATAAAACAAACTGCCATACATCGCTATTTATAAACTTGTTTGAATTTTATTCTATAGAAACTATTATATTTGTATATACTACTTTTAGCTTAAAGCCTCAGCAGCTAGAGCTACTACAATTTATTATATTTGTAATCTAACTTATAAATATAATTATTAATAAATAAATAAATTGACATTTCGGGGTTTTTAGCATGTTTTAAATTGCAGTTTTATAAAGAGGAAAAATAGGTTATTTTAAAATGCTCACAACTCCTTAAATATTGACATTTCGGGGTTTTTAGCATGTTTTAAATTGCAGTTTCTTAAAGAGGAAAAATAGGTTATTTTAAAATGCTCATAACTCCTTAAATATTGACATTTCGGGGTTTTTAGCATGTTTTAAATTGCAGTTTCTTAAAGAGGAAAAATAGCTTATTTTAAAATGCTCATAACTCCTTAAATATTGACATTTCGGGGTTTTTAGCATGTTTTAAATAGCAGTTTCTTAAGGAGGAAAAATAGCTTATTTTAAAATGCTCATAACTCCTTTAATACTGATATTTCGGGGTTTTTAGCATGTTTTAAATAGCAGTTTCTTAAGGAGGAAAAATAGCTTATTTTAAAATGCTCATAACTCCTTAAATATTGACATTTCGGGGTTTTTAGCATGTTTTAAATTGCAGTTTCTTAAAGAGGCAAAATAGCTTATTTTAAAATGCTCATAACTCCTTAAATATTGACATTTCGGGGTTTTTAGCATGTTTTAAATTGCAGTTTCTTAAAGAGGCAAAATAGCTTATACTAAAGTGCTCATAACTCCTTAAATATTGACATTTCGGGGTTTTTAGCATGTTTTAAATAGCAGTTTCTTAAGGAGGAAAAATAGCTTATTTTAAAATGCTCATAACTCCTTTAATACTGATATTTCGGGGATTTTAGCATGTTTTAAATTGCAGTTTCTTAAAGAGGAAAAATAGCTTATTTTAAAATGCTCATAACTCCTTAAATATTGACATTTCGGGGTTTTTAGCATGTTTTAAATTGCAGTTTCTTAAAGAGGCAAAATAGCTTATACTAAAGTGCTCATAACTCCTTAAATATTGACATTTCGGGGTTTTTAGCATGTTTTAAATAGCAGTTCCTTAAGGAGGAAAAATAGCTTATTTTAAAATGCTCATAACTCCTTTAATACTGATATTTCGGGGATTTTAGCATGTTTTAAATTGCAGTTTCTTAAAGAGGAAAAATAGCTTATTTTAAAATGCTCATAACTCCTTAAATATTGACATTTCGGGGTTTTTAGCATGTTTTAAATTGTAGTTTCTTAAAGAGGCAAAATAGCTTATACTAAAGTGCTCATAACTCCTTAAATATTGACATTTCGGGGTTTTTAGCATGTTTTAAATAGCAGTTTCTTAAGGAGGAAAAATAGCTTATTTTAAAATGCTCATAACTCCTTAAATATTGACATTTCGGGGTTTTTAGCATGTTTTAAATTGCAGTTTCTTAAAGAGGCAAAATAGCTTATTTTAAAATGCTCATAACTCCTTAAATATTGACATTTCGGGGTTTTTAGCATGTTTTAAATTGCAGTTTCTTAAAGAGGCAAAATAGCTTATACTAAAGTGCTCATAACTCCTTAAATATTGACATTTCGGGGTTTTTAGCATGTTTTAAATAGCAGTTTCTTAAGGAGGAAAAATAGCTTATTTTAAAATGCTCATAACTCCTTTAATACTGATATTTCGGGGATTTTAGCATGTTTTAAATTGCAGTTTCTTAAAGAGGAAAAATAGCTTATTTTAAAATGCTCATAACTCCTTAAATATTGACATTTCGGGGTTTTTAGCATGTTTTAAATTGTAGTTTCTTAAAGAGGCAAAATAGCTTATACTAAAGTGCTCATAACTCCTTAAATATTGACATTTCGGGGTTTTTAGCATGTTTTAAATAGCAGTTTCTTAAGGAGGAAAAATAGCTTATTTTAAAATGCTCATAACTCCTTAAATATTGACATTTCGGGGTTTTTAGCATGTTTTAAATTGCAGTTTCTTAAAGAGGCAAAATAGCTTATTTTAAAATGCTCATAACTCCTTAAATATTGACATTTCGGGGTTTTTAGCATGTTTTAAATTGCAGTTTCTTAAAGAGGCAAAATAGCTTATACTAAAGTGCTCATAACTCCTTAAATATTGACATTTCGGGGTTTTTAGCATGTTTTAAATAGCAGTTTCTTAAGGAGGAAAATAGCTTATTTTAAAATGCTCATAACTCCTTTAATACTGATATTTCGGGGATTTTAGCATGTTTTAAATTGCAGTTTCTTAAAGAGGAAAAATAGCTTATTTTAAAATGCTCATAACTCCTTAAATATTGACATTTCGGGGTTTTTAGCATGTTTTAAATTGCAGTTTCTTAAAGAGGCAAAATAGCTTATACTAAAGTGCTCATAACTCCTTAAATATTGACATTTCGGGGTTTTTAACATGTTTTAAATAGCAGTTTCTTAAGGAGGAAAAATAGCTTATTTTAAAATGCTCATAACTCCTTTAATACTGATATTTCGGGGATTTTAGCATGTTTTAAATTGCAGTTTCTTAAAGAGGAAAAATAGCTTATTTTAAAATGCTCATAACTCCTTAAATATTGACATTTCGGGGTTTTTAGCATGTTTTAAATAGCAGTTTCTTAAGGAGGAAAAATAGCTTATTTTAAAATGCTCATAACTCCTTAAATATTGACATTTCGGGGTTTTTAGCATGTTTTAAATTGCAGTTTCTTAAAGAGGCAAAATAGCTTATTTTAAAATGCTCATAACTCCTTAAATATTGACATTTCGGGGTTTTTAGCATGTTTTAAATTGCAGTTTCTTAAAGAGGCAAAATAGCTTATTTTAAAATGCTCATAACTCCTTAAATATTGACATTTCGGGGTTTTTAGCATGTTTTAAATTGCAGTTTCTTAAAGAGGCAAAATAGCTTATTTTAAAATGCTCATAACTCCTTTAATACTGATATTTCGGGGATTTTAGCATGTTTTAAATTGCAGTTTCTTAAAGAGGAAAAATAGCTTATTTTAAAATGCTCATAACTCCTTAAATATTGACATTTCGGGGTTTTTAGCATGTTTTAAATTGCAGTTTCTTAAAGAGGCAAAATAGCTTATTTTAAAATGCTCATAACTCCTTAAATATTGACATTTCGGGGTTTTTAGCATGTTTTAAATAGCAGTTTCTTAAGGAGGAAAAATAGCTTATTTTAAAATGCTCATAACTCCTTTAATACTGATATTTCGGGGATTTTAGCATGTTTTAAATTGCAGTTTCTTAAGGAGGAAAAATAGCTTATTTTAAAATGCTCATAACTCCTTAAATATTGACATTTCGGGGTTTTTAGCATGTTTTAAATTGCAGTTTCTTAAAGAGGCAAAATAGCTTATACTAAAGTGCTCATAACTCCTTAAATATTGACATTTCGGGGTTTTTAGCATGTTTTAAATAGCAGTTTCTTAAGGAGGAAAAATAGCTTATTTTAAAATGCTCATAACTCCTTTAATATTGACATTTCGGGGTTTTTAGCATGTTTTAAATTGCAGTTTCTTAAAGAGGCAAAATAGCTTATACTAAAGTGCTCATAACTCCTTAAATATTGACATTTCGGGGTTTTTAACATGTTTTAAATAGCAGTTTCTTAAGGAGGAAAAATAGCTTATTTTAAAATGCTCATAACTCCTTTAATACTGATATTTCGGGGTTTTTAGCATGTTTTAAATTGCAGTTTCTTAAAGAGGCAAAATAGCTTATTTTAAAATGCTCATAACTCCTTAAATATTGACATTTCGGGGTTTTTAGCATGTTTTAAATTGTAGTTTCTTAAAGAGGCAAAATAGCTTATACTAAAGTGCTCATAACTCCTTAAATATTGACATTTCGGGGTTTTTAGCATGTTTTAAATAGCAGTTTCTTAAGGAGGAAAAATAGCTTATTTTAAAATGCTCATAACTCCTTAAATATTGACATTTCGGGGTTTTTAGCATGTTTTAAATTGCAGTTTCTTAAAGAGGCAAAATAGCTTATACTAAAATGCTCATAACTCCTTAAATATTGACATTTCGGGGTTTTTAGCATGTTTTAAATTGCAGTTTCTTAAAGAGGAAAATAGCTTATTTTAAAATGCTCATAACTCCTTTAATACTGATATTTCGGGGATTTTAGCATGTTTTAAATTGCAGTTTCTTAAAGAGGAAAAATAGCTTATTTTAAAATGCTCATAACTCCTTAAATATTGACATTTCGGGGTTTTTAGCATGTTTTAAATTGTAGTTTCTTAAAGAGGCAAAATAGCTTATACTAAAGTGCTCATAACTCCTTAAATATTGACATTTCGGGGTTTTTAGCATGTTTTAAATAGCAGTTTCTTAAGGAGGAAAAATAGCTTATTTTAAAATGCTCATAACTCCTTTAATACTGATATTTCGGGGATTTTAGCATGTTTTAAATTGCAGTTTCTTAAAGAGGAAAAATAGCTTATTTTAAAATGCTCATAACTCCTTTAATATTGACATTTCGGGGTTTTTAGCATGTTTTAAATTGCAGTTTCTTAAAGAGGCAAAATAGCTTATTTTAAAATGCTCATAACTCCTTAAATATTGACATTTCGGGGTTTTTAGCATGTTTTAAATTGCAGTTTCTTAAAGAGGCAAAATAGCTTATTTTAAAATGCTCATAACTCCTTAAATATTGACATTTCGGGGTTTTTAGCATGTTTTAAATAGCAGTTTCTTAAGGAGGAAAAATAGCTTATTTTAAAATGCTCATAACTCCTTTAATATTGACATTTCGGGGTTTTTAGCATGTTTTAAATTGCAGTTTCTTAAAGAGGCAAAATAGCTTATACTAAAGTGCTCATAACTCCTTAAATATTGACATTTCGGGGTTTTTAGCATGTTTTAAATAGCAGTTTCTTAAGGAGGAAAAATAGCTTATTTTAAAATGCTCATAACTCCTTTAATACTGATATTTCGGGGATT